GACAGGTGACAGCAGGGAACGGTCGGAAAACAAGACACACTTGTCCCGGAAGTCAGGACATTCAACAAGGATATTCATGACTGTAAGGGGGACAATGCAATTTGGACAATAAGGAGTAGGGTGGCACTCCATTAAGTGACTGAGTTAAGCGAGTATGGCCAATACGCAACCTCGCCAGAGCCGTTTCCCATCGCCGGTTACGGTGGTAGGAGGACGGCCATGAGGACAGACTACTCTTAAGAGTACGCAGTTTGTTATCAGGAACAGAAGACCAACAAGCCTGCCAACGGACAAGGATGGAGGAATGAATAACTGGGTAAAAGTCGGAATAAGGAATACTTTTATGAGAGATGGGACAAGAGCGGACAGCTTCCCTAGCGACAGCATCCGTACGCTCATTTAAAGACACACCAATATGGCTGGGAACACAACAAAACTCAACCGACTTAAATTTACTGTGAACGAGAAACAGCCAATGCTGGATCTCGACAACCACTGGATGAACCGGATTAAAGGACCCGAGAGCCATGAGGGCACTACGAGAGTCAACAACAACTACAAAGGAAGACTGACAACGAGAAAGCAGGAGACGAAGAACATAGAGAATAGCATAAAGCTCCGCTGTGAAGATGCTAGTCTCCGGAGGCAAGCGACACATATAAGTGCGATCAGGAAAAACAAGAGAGTAGCCAACACCATCCGCAGACTTAGACCCATCGGTGAAGACAGAAATGGAGCGGGAGTGAGAAGAAAAGTGTTCAAGGAAAAGGCGTTTCAGAGCCGTAGGAAGGGTAAAAGCTTTAGTTATGCGGTCTATTAATCAAATAATTGATAATTATAATAAAAGCTAAATACTGTTCTACTACTAAATTGGGTTAGTATTACAGCTAAGATTGGGTTAATTTATGGTTAAATTAGTCTCACCTGTTGACCAGACCACACACTAGAAATTGAAGGGACGACGACGTTTCGGTCCATCCTGGACCATTCTTTTTTGAGATATTTTTTTTTTTTTTAGATATATACAAGAGTTGTTACATTCTTGTACAAGTCGATTGAGAATGGTCTCACCTGTTTGGTTGTGCGAGAGCTGGTCTTCCAACATCAGACTCATGTCTGATGTTGGTCTTCCAACATCAGACTCATGTCAGTGGTTTGCACATGTGGACCATCCTGGACCTGTTAGTAGCATCCCTGTTGTCTTTGGTAGAGCAAGTGGACATCTGGATAGGTTCAGGTAGGCGTTACCAGCTCTGTTAATTTTTCTTTCCTTGGGCTGTACCTGCAGAGTATTTAATAAAGTAGTAACCTATGCAGGCGAGGAGTCACAATAACGGGGCTGAAGTATGTTGACCAGACCACACACTAGAAGTTGAAGGGACGACGACGTTTCGGTCCGTCCTGGACCATTCTCAAGTCGATTGTGCTGGACCATTCTCAAGTCGACAATCGACTTGAGAATGGTCCAGGACGGACCGAAACGTCGTCGTCCCTTCAACTTCTAGTGTGTGGTCTGGTCATCATCAAAGTAGTAACCTGCTACTCATCGTCGCTCCTCTATGGCTCAATGCAGCAAGCACTTTTGAAACTCTCTTATTCTCAACATTCACGCATCTGCCAACGTCTGTACTGGTGCAGTTGTCGGGAGATCGAACCCTTCATGCAGACTGCACCTACTATCAAGGAAAAGAAGAGTCGTCTTTGTTTACATACAATGACTCATCTCCGGCCTAGGGAGCCGGTCGCCCGAGCGGACAGCACGCTGGACTTGTGATCCTGTGGTTCTGGGTTCGATCCCAGGCGCCGGCGAAAAGCAATGGGCTGAGTTTCTTTCACCCTATGCCCCTGTTACCTAGCAGTAAAATAGGTACCTGGGTGTTAGTCAGCTGTCACGGGCTGCTTCCTGGTGGTGGAGGCCTGGTCGAGGACCGGGCCGCGGGGACACTAAAAAGCCCAGAAATCATCTCAAGATAACCTCAAGAAGATACACACACACACTACCAAGTCCAATGTTTGTGTAAACGATACACAAACATTTTAATATCAATAATTTTCAGTTTTGCACACTCCTCTTACCCCTGCATCCTAAAATCTTATACATTGCACAAACAAAACAAATGCATTTAGTAAATGTGCCATGACTGATTTTATTGTAGGATAAGTATATATGTTGCAGGAGATCGAGAAATGCATCTATTGTCTCTATCATATTTTTCTCATTATCATACATTCTCCAACACCCCTCCCTCTCCTCCACCCCCCCCCCCTCCCTTTCTCATATCAATTCAGTAAAGATTATCATAATAAAAACACACCTCCCTCTCCTCCACCCCCCCCCCTCCCTTTCTCATATCAATTCAGTAAAGATTATCATAATAAAAATAATTCAATATTGAGCATCAATGTTTTAAAACGCCATCATTGCAATACAACAAAAGACGTGGGACTCGAACTGGGACTCGAAACCACTATGCCCATTGATGGAAACGGAAGTTAGTGTTTTTTCACATATATTGAGGTTCTTGCCAGCCAACTAAAATGGCGTAAAGAACAACGGTCCATCCTTCTACGAACTCGTTTTACGGGAAGAGTGGCCGTGACTCTCGGTACTCTCGCGTGCTTCGTTCTACCCTGCCGGGGCTGGTGGTGCCGCTTCTGCGGGTTGCGGTGTCATTGTTTTCACTTCGCATCTCGGTTTCCGGCTCGTGGTGCTCGGTTCCTTGTTGGCCTCTGCCCGGGCCATGGCTCTTAGGCTTTTCAACCAACTATGAAGTACTGAAGAAAACTTTTTGGATGTTTATCTAGCCTCTCCTGAGCGACGGTTCCTTTGATTATGTCAAGACGTGTGCAACGGTATGGTAGCTATGGACATTGCAGATTCAACAGAACTGGTCCCGAATTTGGACGTAATTTGAAAATGAAAAAAATATGAAAATAAATTTGGGATTTTTTTTTTCAACAACAGTAAGTTAAGGGTCCTCTGATAGGTTAGGTGGGCAGGAAATTCTCATAAAGTTTCAAAACGTTATGAAAAACGATAATTTAAAGTGTCCTTTTAGCCTCTGCGCGTACGCCGGACGACTCAAACAGAAAACGGAACAGAACGTCACTTTTGTGAGTCGATTTCATTTCAAATTACGTAAAAATTTAGCCATAGCGCGCATACCAGCCAAAAGTGACGTTATTTTTAAGAGGACGGGTTGGGTCCTGATAGGTATCTTGAGGGACTCGGCTTCCCTACTGACATCTTAAAGAGCGTACTATCCCAGCATACATTTTCTTTTAAAAACATTTTAAATACTACATTTGTTCTCGTTTTTTCTCATAAATTTTCTTATAAAAGTAAGCAATTATGAAAGAAGGCAAAACAAAAGAGTACTGCACAGACAATAATTATATTAATTAATAATACATTATGTCATGGAACAGGAAGCCAGAATGCATTCATCCATGTTAGACTTATATCGAGGTCCCTCACCCAAGGTCGAATTACTGACCCTGTCGCAGTAATTCGGACGCAGGTTCGAATCCTCGTCACGGCCCTTGTGGATTTGTTCATTTGACCCCGCCCAGGATGCAACCCCACAACAAGCTAACTCCCGAGTACCTACCTACTTACTGCTAGGTGAACAGGTTTATTAGGTAAAAGAAAATATGCCCAACCATTTCTGTCCCGCCCAGGATTAAAACCCGGAATTCTCAATTGTGCATCTAGAATGAACCCGACTATATACTAATATATAAATTAGAAAAGAAAACTAATCTTTACAAAATTAGTTTTGAAGAGTGAAACAACTAAGAATTTTGTTTTGAGGTAGTAACAGCTTTAAATATATAGGGATGTCTTAACCTGTTTCTTGAACAAAAGTACTCTGCTTTCGAGAAGTTAAAGGAAAAGGTTTTCTATATGATTAGGTAATTAAACTGCAAATCTTGCTAATACCTTACGCTTGAGGAGGAATGGCGAATTCCTTACCTAATACAGCTAATCATGATTTTGAGTGAAAGAATTAGGGGTTCGGAAAATGTCAAATGATGGAATTTTGCATACTTGTTCCAAACATATAGCAAACACAAATGCGATCAGTGTTTGTAACCCAATACTTCCTCCTAACCTCGTTTACAAAGTGAAAACATTGAAGTGTTTGAGGCAAATCGAGATACATTTATGTATATTGATTTGCCTCAAATATTTCAAAAACATTTGGGACAGCAAAGAAAGGCAAGACAAGATAAGGTAATTATCAAAAGAAGGCACCAAACCGGGAAGGCTATGTAGCACCATCAAAGTGCAAAATATTCAGAGGGCGCTAAATATCACCAAGAATGCCAATACGTGAACAAAAACGCATAAGGCGAATGATATCAAAAGTATCCGATTCACCAAGAATTCTATCGAGGAACAAGTGACCGCGAGGGACAGTCGGAAAGCAAGACATGCTCGTCCTGGAAGTCAGGACATTCAACAAGGATATGCACAACTGTAAGAGGGACAATGCAATTTGGAGAATAAGGAGCAGGGCGGCGCTCCATTAAGTGACCATGGGTTAAGTGCCATACGCAGCCTTGCCAAAGCAGTTTCCCACCGCCGGTTACGGTGGTAGGAGGAAGGCCACAGGGACACTACGTTTGAGAGCTGTTACTGACTACAGAAGACCAACAACCCTGCCAACGGGTAAGGATGGAGGAATGAATAACAGGATACAAGTCGGAATAAGGAATACCTTCATGGGAGATGGGACAAGAACGGATAGCTTCCTTAGTGGCAGTATCCACACGCTCATTGAAAGAAACACCAATATGGCTGGGAACCCAGTAAAACTCTACCGATTTAAATTTACTAGAAATAAGAAACAGCCAATGTTGAATCTCGATGACAACTGGATGGACAGGATTAAAGGACCCTAGAGCCATAAGGGCACTACGAGAGTCAACTACAATCACAAAGGAGGAATGACAATGAGAAAGCAAGAGACGGAGAGCATAGATAATAGCATAAAGCTCTGCTGTGAAGACGCTAGCCTCTGAAGGGAGGCGACACATAAGTGCGGTCAGGAAAAACAACAGTAGCCCACACCATCTGCAGAGAAAGGCAAGACAATAGTGCACTCATTAAACATAAGGATGAACCTACAGAAAAACATTATGTAACTACCAGTTAGTCAAGATAATTTTTTTTAATTGGTGATCACAAATTGCCATACCTTTGGTAATATAACTTTATTGTAAAATGACAAGCTTAAGGAGTCAAGTTGAATCAGTTCATACAAAAGATTGATTTAACACAGACACATCAAACAATACAATCCTGGACAGGCCCCCATTTTATGTTATGTTCATTAAGGTACTGTGGCGATACCCAGCTCATGGACTGCTAAACTTAAATGCGGCTTTTCTTTTTTTATGTTAATGTGCTATGAGAAAACAGGACTAAACCTAAAACCCAAAATAAAACATGATACTTTCATACACATTAGACTAAAAGACCATGTGCGTCCGATACACTATGCGTACTAGTGGCTTTAGATATTTTATGTGCTAGCTCTATCAATAAATCCAACATTATGTTTGTAAAACAACTATGTATGTACTTTCCTGAATAAAATTGACTTTACTTACTAATATATAAAAATTAACACCAGCAATATAACTTGTCTTGTTCACAAAAATAATGAGATAAAATATAAATAAATGACTCGGACTTTTACAAATAACAAAATACAAAGTTATATTTCAAGACGCACAAACCTTACCAACTGCCTAAGCAGTTCATAAGACCTTAGTGTTGGGTGCTTGTCGGGTGACGAGCTGACTGAATACTGCAGCTTCCTAACTAACAAGGTAACCTCACCCCTTCCCCAAAGGGGAAAGGTTGGGGATAATTCATTCTAACTGGTAACAACTGTGAAAGTAATTACAGGATGATACATTCCTGTAGTCTGAAGTGATAATCATATGACGAGTAAAACTGGAGAATTTTCATAATACAGAATTTGTACAAAGGGAGTAATATTATTACAGGAGTATTATTCCATGTAAGAGGGAGACTGCGGTGGGGAAACAAAAGCCCATTTATAGAGGGTTATGATGTGACTATATACAGCAGGTATCCAATCATGGGGTTGAGAGGGATCTTCAGGTTCCTATACAGCAGGTAACAAATCACTGGGTCAAGAGTTATCCACAGGTTGCTATATATAGCAGGTAGCCAATCTTCTGGTCGAGAGGGATCCTCTGGTTATGTACAGCAGATTGTCAATCAAAACGTCGGGAGGGATCCTCAGCTTGCTATATATAGCAGGCAGCAACTATGGCGTCAGGGGATATCCTCAGGTTGCTATATATAGCAGGCAGCAATCATGAGGTCGGGAGGGATCCTCAGGTTGCTATATATAGCAGGCAGCAATCATGAGGTCGGGAGGGATCCTCAGGTTGCTATATATAGCAGGTAGCAACCATGGCGTCAGGAGGGATTCTCAGGTTACTATATACAGCAGGTAACCAACCATGAAGCAAACCATGAGGAGGAAAACAAAGACCTTGGCCACCATCTCCAGCTGCTCCACAGTGTAGTCCGGCGCCCAGCGGCAGCGGTCACGGAGTCCTATCGGCTCCTGCTTCTTGTGCGACGCTGGCATGCCAAAAAGTTTCACTTGTGTCATTTTCTGGTCCTTAAAGAGTCGATTATCGATCAAGATATGAAATATGATGACCAGGAAGGTGATGCCCACGCAGAATAGCAGCCAAATGTCCACCATCTTGAAGTACGAGGTGTTGGGCAGCGAATTTGATGCCTGTCGGGTCAGGAAAATGCATCTTAATATATGTATGTTGACTATATTGTGAACTTTGTCGTCCAAGTGACACGTTTATTCATATATGAAACATAGCGTGTGAACGTTTCATCACGATGTGTTTGGGGTGCGAGTAATGGTATGAACGGACCTGAGCGAAGAGTGTAGCGAGGACGAGAAGGGCCGTGAGAGTGACCATGACTCGCACGTCGAAGAGGGAGGTTCTGAAGTAGAAGGTGAGGTAGCTGATGATCATGAGGATGAGGGAAGGAATGTAGATGTTGAGGATGGAGTTACCAAACTGTCGCATCATGGGCACCCGGACCCGAGCCTCGCCTGCCAGGTAGTCCTTCCTCAGGAGCACCTTCACGTCCCCGATCTGAGGCACACACAAGCCACTCAAACATGTATATACCAGCTATAATATATTATATTATCCACGCTATTTACTCATTGAAAATGTGGAAAACTTCCATCAAAACTATAGCATAACATGCTGAGTAACATGGTCTATGAAAGCACATGGACCAGGCATGACTATAGAACAAGCCAAGCTCTCTCAAGGCAGAGGGTATCATCAAGTCAGCATATTTCGACCATTTTGTGAATTCCATCCCAGGAAGGCCTTCATAATGGATTAATACCAAGATGTGTAATTACATCTAATAAGCATATAATGGTAATACTCCAAAATAAGTGTGTATACTCTATGAATAATTGTTTAACCAGATATGTTTGGTTAAGTTATATAAATGGATCCTTAAAACAGGCAGGACAACGATACTCGCCTTGGGGTGGATCGCCTGTGTGTTCAGACCCTGACACTTTAGTAAACATAACTCCGCCACCACACAAGGACACTACGATGGGACTCCTGGTTCAACCTTGATGACGAGCAGACGTCTGGACACCACCTCCACCTTGGAGCCATCCGATCACGTTCTGTTTTCGCGTTTTGACTTTGATACTGCCGTTTGGCATCCCTAATCAACGTTCCGGTTGTATGACGCCTGGCACACACATCGCCTTGGGTCGGATTGTTGATAGTTTTTTTTTTTTTTACATGTTCTGGCTGGTTCTGGCGAAGTGACTGTCCGACGCCGGCTTGGCCGAGAGGTGCCGGGGGTTGGTGGGGCTTGGTGGGCTCCTGGTGTGCCCTCAACCATGGTGGGCGGCTGGCTTCTGCTGTGCCGGAGGACACTGGATGACTTTTGCGTTTTACTTGGGGGTCGAGTTTTTGGTTTTGCTACCCAGTGTTTTCTGTGTGGGACGGGGCCAGTGCTTATCACCCTGAAGGACTCCTGGGGCTCCCCCAATCATCTGCTTGTCTGTGTTTCTTTGCCGCAGGGCATATTAGGTTCCAGTGACTGGTGCCACTTGTTTCGTGATTTGGCTTGGCGTTTCACTTTTCCGGGCTTCATGATTAATCCTTCACCGGTACGCATCCGATCCCATGATCGTCGTCGCCCCCTCAATCAACAATAACATTACGATGTACAAGCTGCTTAATTTGCAGCCGTTTTACATCCGTGGATGTGAATGTGGTGTAAACTACTACATAAATGTGTATAAAAAACAGGGGACACTATTTTAAGTGATATAAGTGTGTGTCTTGCTGTAAAACAGTGAGAGGAGAGCTTGATCACTGACGCCACAGCAGCAATGCCACACTTCCTCACACACACATTACCATTCCACCTCATGGGAACACTTCACGGTTATACAAGCTTAGTTTTATCCATTTTTCATCCATGGACCCCTAGCTGGTGTGTAAAACAACCCATAAACGAGTATAAACATCAAGACAAACTATTTAAAGTGATACAAGTCTTGTTATAAAGAAACAGTGAGAAAAGTGTGTGATCAATGACGCAACAGCTTCGACCCCACACACCCTCAGAGTCAAAAACACCACTTCAATATCGATAGTAAACAACACGACACGCTATGGCCCGACAAGAGTGTTAAATCTTAGTACAAATTAGAGCTCCGTACCTGCATCTTAATCAAATAAGGCAGATTGGTTGTGTAGTAACAGGGAAATTGGATCCAATATCTTTGTACCACTAATGCTATTAATTGCAGGTGCAGTTACACCATTAACTTACGAGCTCACCTCAGTAAGTAAATTACCTACCACTAAAATAAAACTATACTAACTAGGTTAAGCAACATTTAAACAGATATTTGATATATTGCAATTGCTTAAAGACCAATTATACAATACAATACAATACAATACAATTTTATTTAGGTAAGGTACATACATACAATAAATATTTACAAGGATTGGTAGACTTATAGGTAGAGCTAGTACATACAATGCCTAAAGCCACTATTACGCAAAGCGTTTCGGGCATAGAGTAGACATAAGCAAAAGATAAATTCACAGCATTAAAGAATTATTTAATCTTGTCATTTCTATAATTCATATGTCATAAGATACCAGATTAAAAGGATTTGCTATAATAATTAGTAACTATAAATGCTAGCTGCATTATGCATATTTTTTACCAAGTGGTAAGGTGGTAATTTGTTATCCAAAAGGCAAATGAAAGCACCACTATTCTTGTTGGATCACTAAAACTGAGCCACCTAGGGAACCTAAAGAATAAACAGTCCACTACCCCACGAAGAAAACAACAGTTCCCAAGTGACCACTGGATATGACTACTGTCATTGTAAACAGCCAAGTTGCCATCATGTTGATAGTTAAGTTCTTTACTTTAAGGAGTCTGAAAATTAAAATTTCCACAGAAAATATACTCAAAATATTAAATATGAAAATGTAAATTGGCCTCTTTTAGGAAGTTCAGATACTGACCTTGTATTCATTGAGGATATTGCTTCCCAAGTAGACAACGGTGGAGTTGGAGTGGACTTCGAGGAAGGACACCTGGCCAGACACAATCTGAAGGTGGATGTCACAGTGCTGGTTGTCGAAGGGGTAGAGTGTGAGGTCGAACTGACAGGCGTACACTGTGCTGTACTTCCTGCTCACAGATATGGGGTTCTCTTCTCCAGAATACATGTCCACTGAAGCAACACATAAGCGTCAGTTAATATATAACTCACAATAACACCAAATGGCACATTGATAATAATGACAAAATAACGAATATATTTGTATGATTTAACTGAAGGTTTACTTAGACAAACAGTATGCAGATTAGTCAATAATGTGGCAAAAGATATGTTGACCAAACCACACAAAACATGAAACGACGACGTTTCGGTTCGTCCTGAACCATTATCAAGTCGTATGTGATGGGGGGGAGAGATTGATGGAAGATTAAGCCACTCAAGAGGTGGTACGGGTATGAGTAGCCCTTAAGGATGGGAGAGAGGAAGGCACGGGAAATAAGGAGAGTGGGATGAGGAGCAGGCAAGAGAAAATTGAAAAGAAAATTAAAAAAGGGGGGGTAGGCTTAAGCCAGGTCACGTTTGTTATGAAGGTTGGAGCATTTGAATAAGTACTGTGAAAAGGAAGAGGGAATAATGCAACAAAGGCTTCACCTGGCTTTTTTACTGTTCCCTTTTACAGTACTTATTCAAATGTTCCTACCTTCCTAACAATAGTGACCTCACTTAAGCCGGTCGGCCGAGCGGACAGCACACTGGACTTGTGGTACTGGGTTCGATCCCGGGCGCCGGCGAGAAACAATGGGCAGAGTTTCTTTCATCCTATGCCCCTGTTACCTAGCAGTGTAATAGGTACCTGGGTGTTAGTCAGCTGTCACGGGCTGCTTCCAGGGGGTGGTGGCCTGGTCGAGGACCGGGCCGCGGGGGACACTAAAGCCCCGAAATCATCAAGATAACCTGACCCACTTTTTCTTACCTATACTATTCTTTCATCCCATTTGTATCTTAACCTATTCTTACCTTTTCAATTCTCTCTTACCTGCTCCTCATCTCACTCTCCAGCCAGTACCCGTGCTTTCCTCTCTCCCCATTCGAACAATTTTTAGCCCATATCATGCCCGTGCCCCCTCTCGTGTGGCTTTATCTTCATCAATCGCTTCCCAATCAACCGGTGGTCTAAAGACAGGCCCAGACACACTTCAAAATGTTATGCAACCAAAGTCCACATTCACTCCAAACATCTAACACCAGCGGGCTACTCATGCCCATGCCACCTCTGGTGGTAGCTTAATCTTCATTAATCAATATCTATCC